CCACCCGGGTTTTCTACCTTGCTTCTTTGCTTTCCTCAGCTGCTAATCTTCTGTCTGCCATGTTGCATTTCCCCCAACTCATTCCCTTGTATAAAAGGACCATGAGATTCTCCATTACCTCCTCATCACTGGCACACACCCTCTTTCCACTATCAGCTCTAACACTTCCAACCAGAACACAATCAGTTGCTCCACACATTCATCCAACACATTTGTAGGTGGACTCTGCCAGCTCCATGCTGGGCGTGAAGCGGATTCACCGCAGGAACTGACAGTTCAGTGGGGAAGATGGAAACGATCAGAGCATGGTAATATCGTTAGGTAAGAGCAGCGGTGACAGATGGGGGCACATGTTAGAAAGACAGAGATTGGAAAGCCAAGTTTCTTAGTTGACTGGACATCAGAAGGCGTTTATAAGGATGGGGAGAAAGTGGTGGCATGAATGGGAAGGTAGCGACATTGGGCACCTTTGTGCTTCTGAGCTTACTCCCTCGCTGTTCCCTCTGCCTGGGAACAGGAAGTTCAGCCTGCCCCCCTCAACCTGCCTTGCTGCCTTCAGAGCCCAGCTGGCAGACACCTCTCTGTGAGGTATCCCCATGCCCTTCCCCTGAGCTCTCCATTAGCTAAGCAGGTACAAGCTTCCTCCTCTCTACTCGTGGAGTACTCTCTGTCCTTGGGCACTGCTGCATGACTGTGTGATTTTTGGTGTCCCTCTGCTTATTGTGGAGACCTGGAGCGCTAATCACTTTGTGTCCCTTACAGTCTAGTTCTCACGGGCATGCGTGCACACACACACACTCAACAGTGTTGGTTGAAGGAGCAGCACATCATCAGGCCACAAGTCCGCTTTGCACCAGGAGATTCATTCTAAGAGGTGCTGAATTCTTTTATTCCAAACAGAGAGTAGTGCCCCACTGCTGTTGATATTGGCCAAAGCTTGCTGGGGTGCAGCGAAGCAGCATCAAGAGGGATTTAGGAAAACAGAAATGTGTCTAGAAGTGAACAACTTGTGTGGCGAGAAGCTTAAATATGCACCATGTAAAAACTTACCCAGAGAGAAGAGAAAACAGGCTGCAACAGGGTGCTATCTCCAGCTTCCAACTACTGATACATGGAGAAGGGTGACCTTATTTTCTGGTACTAGAGAATCCATCATGAACACAGAGTGAAGGAAGAAAGGGGACCCATGGGTGAACTTCTCCAGTGCATGGAAGTACATCCTGACCTTCCTGTCCTGGCCTGTGAGCATGTCCTTAATGAAAGCTGTGTGTCCATTATCAGGGTCTCCAAGCTAGGTCTTGGGGTGTGTGATGGGCGGTAGACAAGAAACCAGCCTCCTTGGTGACCAGATCATGTGGGTAGCAGGGTTGCATGTGGTCGGTTTTGGGGGGTTGATGCATTGATGTTCAGTTACCTGAGGCCTGTAAGGCAGCACCAGGCAGGCAGCCTGAGTCTGCCTGATATTCGGACTCCACTTGCACAAAGTGCCTGGCTCCTTTTCCCTCCCTGGTAATTCTGAGGCACAGCAGAAAGAGATGGAAGACCTTGAGAGGTTGAGGAGCATGTTAGAGTCCATCAGATAGTTCTTGAAAGCTATTTCTCCTCGGCTGTGGCCACCCATCAGACTCCACAGGACTACTAGAGCCTATCCCCCATGATCATTCCCTGACTTCCTCCAACCCCCTAAGAGGGGAAAAGTGCTCAGTGTTCCAGGCCCTGGTGGGAGGGACTTACTGAAGGCCGTTCACCAGTTCCAGCCCCTGCCCTCCTGGGGCTGCTCCAGGCTCCAGTCTGAGAAGCTGGCTGCTCTAGAAACAGCCACTAGAAAAGCCGGATGGAGGGGAGGGTGGCAGGCGTGGGCCCAGACCTTTCTCAGAGACAATTATCCCCACTCTGCTCAGCTTCACTTCTTGGTGGAGACACACACCGGTGGCCTATTGCTTCCGCCGATTACCGTGCGGTCTCTAGCTCATACGTAAGCTTTCATTTTAAATTTCTCCAGCAAGAACAATGGAGTCATTTTTAGCTGGTTGGTTCAGGGAGCCTTTGAACGGCCCCTGGAATCTGTGAGGATAAACAGGAGCCGGCGGGACTGGGTGGTGTTTGATTTAAAATTGGAAACACAGGAGCCAGCGGAGCGGCTTTATATAGTCTGGGAGGCCCAGGAGCCCTGAGCGCTGATTTATGAGCAGCTTGGTGAGAGCACATGAAAGCCGAGGTAATATTTACGCATTCCTCTGTCAGGATGGATGGAATGCTCTTTGGAGCGGCCATCAGATCGTGCCTTTTTGGGGGATGAAGAGAGGTTAAATCCAAATTATTCAGTGACTGAGAGAGTAAGGAAATATGGGTGAAGAGATAGGCCTGGAAGTTTGTTCCAAAAGATGAGGGCTCGGGAAGTGCTGAGTTGCAGGCCTGCTTCTTTCTCACACTCTCACCGGCTCCCTACTATTAGGGGCTCTTGTAGGCTCCTTTCTGGCCTCTAGGACACCCCTCTCTACTCACCAGTATCAGAGCCCTGGACCTAGTAATTATGAGAACTCATTTTTAGGAATAAAGTCTTTGTTTTGGTGTCTGGCACAGCACAGGTCCTGCCAGTGTGGGGAGGAAGAAGCGAGAAAGGATTGTGGTGGAGGAGGCTGCTGACGTGTGACGGGGCTGCTCTTTAAGTCTGGGGTGTCTGAGGCCTGGCATGGAAGTTGGTACTAGAGGGGGGTATGATTCCTGACCACCTGTCAAGGCAGGGGTCTCCCTCAGAATCCAGAGCATTGGCCCAACTGCATCCCCAGGACTGGTGCTCATCAGCTTTACCCTATCAGGCTGGGAGAGGGGCCCAGCCACGTGGCTGAGTGGGCTAATGACCTGTGTGAATGAGAAAGGATGATGGAAAATGTTTTTAAAAAATTGTATTCAGGGCCCTCCCTGGTGGCGCAGCGGGTTAAAGCACTGCACTAAGAAGCTTAAGCCACTTCCGCATGAGTTCGATCCCCGCCTGCCCCGGAGGTGACCACATGGTGCGGCAGACCTCTCCTGACCCGCCCGCTGCTCCCCTCAGCAGTGTACTTCGTCGATCTGCCTGTTCTGCTCCCCACTCTGTCTCTGGTGAATCCTCTCATCCTCCACATTTCTGGCCTGTACCCCAGTTCTGTATGAATAAATAAATAAATCTTTTAAAAAATGTATTCAGAAAAATAAAGCTAAGGGAAGGGAAAGAAGCATGTTCAACTCTGTAGCCTGATCATATTTCTCATATAGACAGCAGAGATCCTATTTATTACCGATCTGAGGGCCCCAAAGGGGCGTGTCTTTGACTCAAGTCCCTGTGTCAGGACAACTTTGGTGGACACACCAGGGCTGGGTCAGAGGGCTGATGTCACATCCATGTTAACCTTCCCAGGCTCCCATCCTTCACTGTAACATCAAAGGGGGCATAAAGGCTTGTCAGGGTATCTTCCAGAACATCACCCGGTTCCTGCCTGGACCCCAAGCATTCCCCACAAACGACTCTAAAGCCCTTTAAAAGGCTGTAATGTGTTCAATTACAAGATGATCTGCCTTGGCTAACTCACTGGTAGGCTGGGTGGAAAGTACAAAAAGCCACTCCCCTCCCTACAAGCTGGCGTTTTCGCAGCACTTCTTAAAGAAAGACTCTCAGTGCCAAATCTCCTGAAAAGTGAGTGCGTGGCTACAGAACTGGTATACACTGCCGAGAAGAGAGACTGAACTCACCTTTTTCTTATTTCTGCTTCTTTCCCTCTGCAGCACATAGGAGACACACATGAAAGACACTCGAATAGGAATCTTATTTGTCCCGGGGTCAAATGTGTCAATGTTTCTTGTGCCAGGTGGGACCATGAAGAACCTCTAAAGTGGCCCTTCTGCTGAGGGAGCTACTGTCTAGTGACATCCAGGCTCTCTGTCCAGTGCTCGTGGGGTTTGTCTTCAAGTTTCCTCCCAGCCCCCACTGCTAAAGGCTGCAGGGAGGCCAGACAGCAAAGCCCTCTGTCATCTCTTCCACCCCTGGAAAGGAGCTTAAAAAAGCACTGCACTGGGGCCAGATGCCATCCAAGATGCGGCCACTGTCTCTCCTCTCGGTTCCTGTCCCTTTTCCACCCTCATCTAGTTCAGCCATTAAGCACTCAGTGCATGCTGGAGACATTACGGCTATTCCCCAGCCCTACAAACGCTGAGCGTGATCCTCTTCTAACCACCCGGTCACTGTGGAGGCAAGAGGCCTGGAGAGGCTGTGAGCAGTCAGTACAGACTTGGTCCCCAGGCCAGTTCTGTCACCACCAGTGGGGGACCTGGCGCTGTTTTCTGACTCAACTCTCTCTGCTAAGAGTAGCTCCCCCAGCTACTGTGGGTGCTTCCAGCTGAGCCGCTTCCAGGAGGGGCTGGTGTCTGCTGTCCTCATGGAGAGGACCATCATTTCAGCACAGTCACACACCAAGAAAGCCCAGTCTGTACAGCCCCAAAATCCATGTTCTTAGTTTTACAGAGGAGGAAGTGTGGGGGTTGGGGATGGGGAATGACCAATGTAAATTGGGCGGGCTTGACCCGCTCAGGGCCACGGAGCCTTTCTGGTGAGCCCCACGTGGAATCCACCCACAAATGACACCTCCCTTTTGGAGTTGAACCTCTGACAAGACTCCCTGGGACTCCCTGGGCCCCTTCTGGAGTTGCAGGAGATTCCAGCACTCTCTGCCCCATCTTCCCCCAACCTCAAAGCACCAACCAGGGTGGGAGTTGGGGGCAAACAAGACTATTGTGTCTTCCCAATTGCAAAGGTGCTCCTGCATTTTTAACCTAAAACTAACAGATCCAGCAAATATTTAATATTTACCTGATCTACACGCCTTTCACTGGCCCACCAATACGAGCTGTCATTGCATTTTCAAAAGCACAAAAAACAGACTTTTCTGCCTCATTTAAATTCTGAATGTCACAAGGGTCACTGCGGTCAGAACCAGAAAAAAAGAGAAACATCATAGGAACACAACACAAGCTATTTATTTTTGCTCCTGCGGTTGCCCCTCTCTCTTTCACTCAATGTTCCCGCCATGAGGATAAGCACAAACATGTTACAACTGACCCCAGTTTTACTTGCAGCTTCCAAAGATGAATCATAGCAGTTTGGCAGAGACAGGCAAGCACTCAGTCAAGATTTGTCCCAACCCTGAATCCAATAACAGATGAAGTCCACTTATGGCCACAGCGCCTGGTGCCATGCAGAGGTGCTGCCTGGAGGCTCTATGGTGTCACACTGTGCTCTCCTGATGGCACCTTCTGGGCTCAATGCCACATTTACAGTCCTTCTGCTCATTGTCCATTCAGTGATGTCATTCCTACTCCTGAGGGACTTAGGGCTTGCAGGCGTAGGAGAGGCTTGTGTAGTTCTGGGTGAGAAGAGGACAGGGGGAAGGTGGACCAGATGTAAAAGTGGCACGCAGAGAGGCATGTGGAATCAACCCCGGCTGAGAGGAAATACAGCCCCGAGGAAGCTGGAGGGAGGGAGGAAGCCAGGTCGATCTGAACACTGTAGCAGCCAGGGGCAGGTCCCCAAACAAAGCGAGGCCGGCCCTCCCAGGGGAGGGGGCAGCACCCCACCCCAGCCCTCACTTGGAGACCAGCATGCGCACGAACTCCTCGTAGTTCACCTGCCCGTCCCCATCCACATCCGCTGCCCGGATCATCTCATCCACCTCCTCATCACTCAGCTTCTCCCCGAGCCTTGTCATCACGTGCCGCAGCTCCGCTGCGCTGACAAAGCCGTTGCCATCCTTGTCGAACACACGGAAGGCCTCCCGGATCTCCTCCTCGCTGTCCCTGTCCTTCATCTTCCGGGCCATCATTCCCAAGAACTCGGGGAAGTCCACAGTGCCATTGCCGTCCCGGTCGATCTCGTTCACCATGCTCTGCAGATCCGCCTCCGTGGGATTCTGGCCCAGGGACCGCATGACTGTGCCCAGCTCCTGGGTGGTGATGGTTCCATCCCCATCCTTGTCGAACAGGGAGAAGGCCTCCTTGAATTCGGCTAGTTGCTCCTCCGTCAGTTGGTCAGCCATGAGGAACTTGGGAGTGGTAGCAGGGTGCAGTCAGGGCTCCCCCGCACTGGAGGCCAGGTGTAGATGCTAGGGGCTGCCTGCTGGATGGCTTTCTAGCCCTGGCTTGACTTGCTGGCGCTTAAGAAGGAGCAGGGTTCTCCCTCAACATGCAGACTCCCCCGCCCTGCGGTTGCCTGAAGGCCAGGTCCTGTTTAAACAGGAGTCCAGCACCAGGAACAAGGCCGGCTGGCTAATTACGCTGACGCCAGCTTCCCTGAGTGAAAGGCAGCCTGCTCTCCGCCCTGCCATCACTCTGTGTCAGGAAGCCCGCTTCATGACTTCAATGCGGGTCTGTGGACAGCCTTTGCAGCGATGCAGTTTTGGCTTTTTCCTTTTTGAATTTTTCCCTCTTCCCTTCTGTCTCTCTAATCTTTAAGCCCTTCACTCAATAAAATAACCAGCTCTGCAGGTTTCTCCCCCCAACCCCCGGAGGTTTTTGGCAGGAAGTCCTCTTTGCTTGAAAGGAACCCCCTTTCCTAGCCTTGATTTCCACAGACAACAGGGTTTTCAGGGGAGAATAAGGTTTGCCTGCAGGTAGAAACACACTGTTTTCTTATCTTTAGAAAAAAGATGAAGGGAGAATTTCTTCCAACTCAATCATTCCCTCACCCATTCCCAGATGCTTGTTGAGGGCTTACTATGTTCTGGGAGCAGAACCATGGAGAAGATGGGTAACTCCCAGTCCTTCCTTGAGAAGTTAGATTCCATCTGAGCGATTGCCAGTTAGCAACTAATCTACAAAGAAAACAAAGCAAGCTCAATAGATGTTTTTGATAAAACACAACACTGTAGAATTCCTAGAAGATAATGAGAGAAAAGCTGAATGTTCATGAGCTTGACAATGATAATTGAATCCAAGGTTATTCAGTTTGGGTCGGGTTTCAATACATCAAAGTCACAATTCATGAAAGAGAGAACTGATAAATTGAATGTTATGTTCTAGATGCATTCCCCCAGAATTCATACTCTGAATTCTAACCCCAAAGGCACATTCATAAAATAGTACCAGGGTAGTAGAAAGAGAAGCAAAGACACAGTCACGTAACTGACAGAGAACCCAGGGCTGGTACATGGAGAGAACTCCTGCTCGTCTCAGTCTTGCTAGTGGATGAAGACTTCAAAGCTAGCGCATGGTTTTGCTTCTTGTCTTTGTCACCTACAGGAGAGGAAGTGGGCAACAGGTGTCTGCTGGTGTCTGGGTCATGGCGTCTTGGTTCAAACAACCAGCATTCCTGTGAGTGTTCTTCAAAAAAGCCACATTGAAAGGACTCAGTAAGGACTTTAGAGCTACTCATGACTCATAAAGGGTAGTATTGCAAACACTAAATTGTTGCAACTTGCTAGTTAGGAAATTGCGAGGGAGGGAATGTGTTTGACTTCACAGGTTTCTGCAGCCTTTCCAGGTAGTATCTCACGAACACTGATTTCTTTCCCTAAAGACTAATGTGCTTTTGGTTTAGGATCCATTTAAACCTTTAAAATTAATTGAGAACTCCAAGGGGCTTTGCTTTACAGGGGTAGGGGTGGGGAGCTGGTTAATCTATCACTATTTACTGGATCTGAAATTAAAACAGAAAATTTAGCATTTTAATAATTATTTATGCATACAGAACTGGGGTACAGGCAGAGGTACAGGGGTGGTGAGAGGATTCACCAGAGAACAGGCAGGTCGACGAAGTACGCTCCAGAGACAGAGTGGGGAGCAGAACAGGCAGGTCGACGAAATATGCTGCTGAGGGGAGCAGCGGGCGGCATAGGTCTGCTGCCTTGTAGATCACCTCCGGGGCCGGATCGAACTCATGCTGAATTGGCTTTAGCTTCTTATGCTGTGCTTTAACCTGCTGTGCCACCAGGGAGGGCCCTTAACATTTTTATTTTTAAAAATAAAAATAAAGCCCAGTACATGCTAACATAAATAACATAGTTTTATGAAAATTCATTCTATGTCTATAACCTGTAACATTATAAACCAATATTACTTAAATAAAACTTAAAAAAATTATTTCTGAAACAGAAAGGAGGAAAGTGACATTTAAAAACAACATTGCAAATGTCTAATTCTGGCTTTCGTACTGTGGTAAATGTTGTTTTGAAGTATGTGGTAATTCAGCTTCACATAGATGAGATACATGGTTGGAAAAAGAGCATTTAAATAACACTGACCATGTAAAAATCTGACAAGAGATAGTTTCTTAGAGATTAGTTATAGTGTGGGGTCTGAAACCAGTTCAATGTATTTTCATACTGTTCAACTGAAACCCATTGTTCACTCTTGCGCTTTGAATAGCTCTTCGAACCATGCATGATTTTACAGTGTCATGTGTTGGTCATTTGGAAAACATTGGCTTACTAAGTTCTGTAGATCTTCCAAATGTTAAATTACTACTTAACATTCAGACCACAGGATATCTTTATAATATAGTATTTGTGCAATAATTTCATATTCACAGAGCAATTACTGTATGGCAAGTATGTAGTAGGCACTTTCATTTATATTATCTTGTATCTCCATAATATAGATGAGGAATATGGGAATTAACAAATGAGTTAAAATCAGAAAACCAACAAGGTGAAAATCTGGGTGGGAACTAGATCTTCCACTTCCTACAGTTCTAGTCAACCTCTGGTTTCTGCATGGTTTTCACCAACTCAGCCTTCTACTTTCTTATTTGTCAGCTACAGAATATACTGGAGAAGCCTGGAACTGATTGCTATAGAGGTCTTTCTTTGCAGGGAGAGAGCTTACCAATACAGATAGACTATAGATTTTCCTGTCCCAGTACCTAAGGCATCCTGTTTCCAATATACCACCTCTGTTGGAGAGTTTAATGGGCACCTCAGAATAACTGGATACAACAAATTTCTTGGTCTTTATTTAAACCTACTTTCTCTGGTCTTCCTCCTCTCTTAAAAAAAAAAAAAAAAAAAAGTAGTCGGACCCTCCCTGGTAGCGCAACAGGTTAGGACACAGCACTGCAAGTGAGCTGCAGTTGCTTCAGTGAGAGTTAGATCCCTGGTCCCGGAGGTGACCACATGGCGCGGCAGACATCTTCTGACCTGCCCGCTGCTCCCCTTAGTAGTGTACTTAGTCTATCTGCCTGTTCTGCTCCCCACTCTGTCTCTAATGAGTCCTCTCACTGCCCCTGCACCTCTGGCCTGTATCCCAGTTCTGTACGCATAAATAAATATTAAAAAAAAAATGCTATCCCATTACAGATGATCTTTAAAAAAAAAAAGTCGACTTTTGTTCAGACAAACCTCAGAGCCATCTTGGACTCTTCCCTTTCACTCCCACTTCATAACCAGCTTTCCATATTCCCTTCATCTCGGGGCAGGACAGTTGCAACAGCCTCATAATTGAGCTCCTTTTAATGGTATAATTTGGTGTATGTCATTTCCGGCTCAGAACCCTATAAAAGCCTCTTTTAAGAGGTCAGGTAAAATCCAATCCCTGCCGTGACCTCTCGGTCCTCTATAACTGTTTCCTGCCTTCTTCACATTCTAACCTCTACCACGATGTGCCAGCCACATAGGCCTTTCTGTTTCTTGAACACTCCCAACCTGATTTCCACCTTAGTATATTTGCATGAGCTTCCTTGTCTTTCTGGGTAAGGAAAGCCCCAAACTTCAAGCTTCTGCTTCTTTTTGTCACTTCAGCTAAATATCAAACACACTTCTTGAGAGACCTTCCCACCATCAAGTTTTAATTAGACCTCCTTCTCTACCACATCATTTCTATTTTATTTTCTTTGTAACTTACCACTCCTATGTTAAGTTCAATTGTTCATTTATTTACTGGTTTGTGTTCTATTTCTTCCCAGGTACATAACATAGGGAGTAAAACTTTTCCCAGTTTCTCTGTCAAGTCCTTTGAGTGGGACAGACCCTCTGAATACAGGCCAAAATCTATAGTTCTAAATGAGTGGGCTGCAAGAAGGCCGCGTTGTCATGAAACATTAGCACTGCCCTGCACAAGGACATCTGGAACAGTTTTCTTTTTCTGTTTTCCCCTCTGGTTCAGAACTTCTGCCGTCTGCCTCACAGGATCTCTCCAAGTGCCATTTATTCACTTTGCTTGTCTCTACTGTCCTGGGATCTGCTGAGTGGCTTCATGAGGACCGGTCTCCTCTGTTATGACCTCGGGAGCAGCTCTGACATCTACCCACAGCTTATTCTTTGTTTCACACCTCCACACTGACTTTAAAAATCCTCTACCCCTATGTACCTCATTTGTGCTGCCTGGGCCTAGGGAGGTGGACTTGTGCTCCCAATTCCTGGCAAGCTGTGTGGTCATGTGGTGCTTTTATCTGACTTGCTCTTTACTGTGGTCATTACCCTAAGGCCCTGGCACAGGCGCTTTAGAGGCCAGAGGACAATGGAAGCCATAAAGGCAGGGGACCCAGTTTGGAGCATGGAGGTGTTTGGAAAATGAATTTTTCCTTTCAAAGACAAATTTACAAGATTGATAGTCCAGCCAGACTCAATCTAGAGTATCAGGTGGAGAGACAGAGTGAGGGTTCAGACAGGCAAAGCTCCTGCGAGCCAAAGGCACGTTTGCCAATACCTTCTACTTCGCCCTCATGGGTTGGGTGCTTCTTGTGTGATTTGGGATTTGGTGGAAAACATGTAGAAGGAAGAATTAAAATAGCTCCTTGGAGTCCCCCTGATTTCAAAGCACATGTCCACCTTAGGGCTCTTTCTTTCTTTAAAAAAATTTTTTTTAAATTTATTTATCTATGCATACAGAACTCTGGGGTACAGGCTAGAAGTACAGGGACGATGAGCAGATTCACCAGAGAAAGAGTGGGGAGTAGAGTAGGCAGATCGACGAAGTATACTGTTGAAGGGAGAAGTGGGAGAGACAGGAGAGGTCTGAGTCTCCATGAGGATCACCTCTGGGGTTGGATTGAACTTGCACTGAAGAAGCTGCGGCTAGCTTGCAGTGCTGTATCCTAACCCATTGTGCCACCAGGGAGGGCCCAGAAGGACCTTACTTTCTGCCAGGTTCTCCCTACATGTCTTCCAGAAACAACCT